CTGATAAAAATACCGGGACTGGCGTTACGTCCGGCAAACACGCTGGGGCAGCCCTCCGGCCGGGAGCTGCCCTTTCATTGGCTCGCGCGCGCCCGCTGGGGCTCACCTTCGTTGGTCTGCGACGTGACGAACGTCTTGATGAGCGTGTCCGTCGTCTGCGTGTAGAGCGAGAGAGCGTAGCGCAGCGACTGCAGCTCGGGGCTCTTCTCCAGGAAGGTCTTCTTGAGGCCGTTGCCGCCCGCGTGGAAGTACTGCTTGATGGTGTCCAGCGCCACGTCGAGCACCGCGCACTGCTTCGGCGACAGGTTCTTCTCCATCTCCTTCGAGATGTCCTGCAACGCGCAGGACCCCTCAGCGAATCGCCGTCCCACGCCTCAGGGGCGAGTCATGCCCCCCACCCCCCCAAATGCATAGAGTTTTAGATTTAAATTTAGATTTATTTAGTCAAAAACAGTAAAAAAACTGCGCACGTTTTCATTAGTTCCAGAATCCCCTTCCATCATTTTAACTATAAATAGTTGAAAAATGAATAAAAGTTAAAAACAAATTTGAAATAATAATATCTTTTTTTTTAAAAAGCGCAACAGAAGCGACATTTGAAAAACTAGACATTTTCGTTCCCGAGTTACAGAAAACGCAACGGTAAACGAACTGCAGATATTTTCTGCATTGGTAACAAAATAGTAACTCGCCCTTACCTCTACTTCTACCACTACACGCAAAAGGAGAGTTCAACAAAACGTGCGCATCGTGAAGCCACATTTTTGTTTGTTTTCTTGATTTGCCAAAATTGATTTACATATTTTCGTTAGAATTATGTAATTATTGAAAAAAAGTAATACGGCTCATTATAATATTTACACTACAAACATAATATACAATATAATAACAATTGTGTTAATTATTTCACAAATCAATGATCCCCCTCCCCAAATTGATGGGCTGGATACGTTCCTGCTCACGCTCCTCCTCGGAGCGATGTTATTAGGATTCTTATTTATCTCTTTTGATTGTGAAAAGTAAACTTTAAGAAACTGAAAATATTGCTGTAATGAAATATAATAGATCACAAATGTTATGATAATTCATGTACTCTTCTAGCAAAATCAATGTCACCATTCTGGGATTGAATAAACAAGTCATTTCATATTTAAAGGAAAATTGTAGCTATTGAACTTTCTACAATGTGAACAAAATGTACGATATTTGTATTGCACTCTAGTAGACCCGGCAGTGTCTCGCTAATACAGTGTAATTCACTCCTCACGCTACTGGTCACGTGATTGTTAATCACGTTTTACACTCCGCTCCACAATTTTTTGTATGGATGAAGGACTTTCTCGCGAGTATGGGTTTGTTCTATGTCCTAGTTTGGACGTAATTGTCAGGTATTCTATTGTTAAAACGTTTTCTTGGAGAAATTTGATTTATTTCTCGATGATAATGTTAAAGTAATGATTCCGGCCGATATTTTACAATTGCAGGGGCAAAATACGTAGTGAAGACGCGCTTTATACTTGAGGATGCGGTAGGATGCCTAGAGTTTCGGTTCAGGGGCGTTTAAGTCAACATGAAGGCACAAAACTATCAAAGCACGTCAATGTGCGACAGACATACGCACATTGCTCGTGTACTTAGCCTATTTTCTTCGCGCAAGTGTCAGCAATAAATTGACAAAATTTGATCGAAATCGGATTGCGGCAGTGCTTAAAATACGAACAAACTAACATTGATTATTGTATATTAGATACGAATATTACAATTCTAGATTGATGGTAAACTTCGCCTAAAGATTCTGTTTGATAATTTTCCAACGTATTGTAATGAAACGTCTTACAATAGGTACTTATTTTGTAAATAACTGTTATAATGACGGACAAAGCGTTTCGGCAAGATAGTTGCGTTTGATTCATCAAAGATTGAGATATCCTAGTGTTCGAGCCCGGGCGATGGCAGATTTTAGCCTGCCTACACCGTTGCGTCGAATGGGAACTTTTTCTGGAGGAGAATTCTAGCTACTGGCTATTGTGATCAGTACTTTTCGAGGTTTCTTTGCTCCATACCCTAACAAAGACCGCGCGTGACCTTTTTTCTTCCTTGTTCCTTCCACTCTCCCTTGCGCACACACGTGTTCTACACTTCTCAAGATAACGGAAGACTGCTCAGGCTTTGAGCTCGTCCCGGCTGGGGCAATGACCCACTGAGAACAATTATTAGAGGAGACGAGCGTGTCGGCACCGAATAGCAAGTTCCACCGTCACTTCAAGGTGAATCGTATATGAAGTGCACAACTCTTACGAAACCCAGTAGATGAAATAAAATACTTTCTCTCATTAATTATTCAGTCCACATGGGTCGATGAAATGATTTAGTTCCGTTGCTGTTGTGAATGTTTTGTCCTAGGAGGTGGCGGGCTTCTCCACCACGAGATGATGTTACCCGACGCCGATCTACAAGTTGGCTTGTGAGGAGATTTTACTCGCCATTCCTACTCTCCATTGGCTTCCCAGTCCGGCCTATGGGATGTGAAGGGAATGAGAAGAAAATATCGCAAAGATTGTCCTTGGCTGTGGCATTCGAAGTGATTACTAAAATCACGAATAAAGCAGTCGACCGACGAATGGAGGCGTCGTTTGCGCCACAAACGCAACGATCCAAACGCAAAAAATCCAAAGTGTTCTTGCAGTACGTTATTTTTAAAATAATTGTGATATAAGATTCTAAAACAAATTAAAATATGAGATACCTAACTAAAAATAAATCTTAGAAATTAACATTGATAAAATTATTTCACAATTTATACATTGCACTTTGGTCTTGCGTATTTGTAATTTATATATTGCTCAGCTATATTAATTGTCAAAATGTGATCACATTTTCTTTATGTTAGAAAGAAGTAAAGAGACCATATTGAATACGCACCTAGGTCTTCCTCGCTTCACAGCGCACGTACTCCATATACACGAATTCTATTTGTGGCAATTATATCTCAAATAATGTTATTAATATATATTAGTTACATTATTTGATATATATTTTCACACACAAATATATATATATATATATATATATATATATATATATATATATATATATCTTAGAACAGTAACAGATTTAAATGGAAATTAATTCATACCAAAAAATAGAGGTTGTCACCGAAACAGTTAGAGCTTGATATCAGTTATGATTAACTTTCATCAGACATTAACGTATTCAACATAGCAGATACCATGGCGTCTAAAAGGGGTTGAGAGGGCCGTCCCTCAAAGGCACAGTACAAGGACTTTCCTGTTGAAGCGAAACTCACCATGACTCCGCTGAGAGCGTTCTTCACATCCTGCTTGCCCGCCATGTGGTTCTTGAAGAGCCGGCCCATGTCTTCGATCTTGGCGTTCGCCGCGAGATTTTTCGCGTTGTCTGTCAGGTTTTTCAGGATCATCTGTCGCAGGAAACAATGGTTAGAGGGAATTCACATACACTCATTGCGAAATATTCTGGAGAGGTTCTGGATGACGATGTGCCTTCTGACGCGAATTTTTCAATATTGCTTTCTTTTTTCATCCGATCTAGATATTTTTTGGGAGAACGATTTTTAATTTGTAATGAACACAAATGAAGTACGACATGCTTTACACAGTTTCTGTTAATTGCGAGAAACCTTTTCGTACACATAATTATTATCTTCAGTGTTGAAAAACTCTAAAAAAAAAGATATTTAATAAAGTTAATGAAAACATTCTTCAACAGTGAAGGTAATAATCACATGATAGAAAAGAATTTGTCCAATTAATGTGTAATTCGCTAGTATACCACAGTCGCATCTCATTTGTTTTCAGTTACACCTTTCATGATTTGCCGACGGTACTCAGTAGATTCGTAAAGACGAGAAATTGACGAGGTCTCACCAATCTGAGGCTTCATGTCCGCTGCGTGTATTGCAGCATGGAATGAGCCGTGCCGATCGAATCCTAGGCTGCCATCTGTCTTGAGGGAAGGGGTGCCTGATCACTTACCCCACCGGCTGTGGTAGCTCTGCCGGGGCTCCAGGGCAGCCTCGCGTCCGAGAGTGTCTCGACGACGCCCCTCTCTATCGCTGATCTTACGAGAAGCGGTGCTTTACACGTGCCGAGGGCGCTCGCGGAATTCGCAATTTCGTAAGCCAAGCCCCCCTCCTCCCTCCCGGTGTGGAAGATTCTAGTAGTTGTTTGTCGATTTTATAGCCAGTTATGGCAATTCTACAAGTATTTCCAATAATATTCCTGAATTATGTTCTTGTAAAATGTTGAATTAAGAAAAGAAGAAGAATTCTACTAATGTAATGGCTTATAAGGAAAACCGTAAAAGGTAAAACATAATTCTTGCTTTCAATTTTTCTCTAATATTTCTTTATATCTTTACAAGACACGAATGACCAAGAAATGAGTCGAATACGAAATAACGCAATCTGATTGTTCGTTCCTTAAATAAGAAATTGAAATAATTTTTTGATTCTAAATTCGTAAGTATAAGGTGTATGTGTAATCATTTTAAATCTTCAAATTCTAAACCCGGACCCTGGAATTTTTACTAATGTACCTGACAGGTGTGTGGATCATGTTGCTTACATATTTTCCTTTGTCCAAGAAAAAGCCGTGGAATACTAACGGAATGAGGACTCAAAAAATGGAAAGTCGAAGAGAATGATCTAAACTCACGCTCTTGTCCGTCATTGGCGGAAGCACCACGGTTTTCTCTAGGATGCGCATTACGATCTTCCACAGCTCCTTCAGCAACCGCTTGAGCACCGTCTTCTCGCACGATTGTGCGTACAGCGATAACGATCCTGCGCACACACAAAACTCTCAGTGATTCTACTGCCCTTCCGGAAAATGTAGGGGTACTCTTGATAGTGGAAGAAGAATTTATTTTTGAAAAAAAATCCTCAGGAAGATGTGGGAGCTTTTACTTCTCGATCGCTTTTTAATGGAGGGTATGTCGTGCTATGAATGCGGTATTAATTATTTTTTTTAAATGGAATGTATTCCGATTCCCAAAGCCCAAGACAAAGAGCTTGTCTAGGGAGGGGGGTGGGGGGTTCGGTGGCGGTCCAGCGCGCGGTCGGTGGAGGAGGGGCCGCCGTCGCTCACCGTCCAGCAGATCCATGAGCGGGCGCAGCACCTCGTCGGCCTCGGCGGCCACGGCGTTGCGCTGCGACGGCTGGTTCAGCGTCACCTGCCCGCCGCCCTTGATGGCCAGCAACAGGTCGCCCAGCTCCCGCACGCTCTGCGTGATGCGCGGCTCCAGGCTGCGCACAGCGCGGGACGCCGCTCTCAGCGCGGGGGGCACAGCCAACGCGCGGCGCGCTGCACTTCAACTGATTCAGTAATCATTCTTAGCGTATCAGGGCGTTGGTCTCGAGAGAATAGAGCGTGTTTTCATCGGAGGTGATCTTCCCCTGCTGGCTGGCGAGGTCCAGCGCTGACTTACCCGTCGACTTGCAGGGTCTTTCGCAACCAGGTATCCCTTCAGGGGGTACCGTTCTAGCCGTCTCTACCTCTAAGCTCCCGAAATGTGTGGTAATATGGTTCGTGTAAGTGTCGAGAAGAGGAAATACGAGCACGCGACGTACACCAATGGGACATGGGGGGGTCTGGAACGACACTGGACCTTCAGCAGAAGGTCAGAACGTACAAATACCTCACGGTACGCTGAGCGAGGATCACGAACGAGCAGCATATTACACACGAGGCGTTAGGGATAAGGGTTGGTTCAAACGACACTTTGGGATAATTGAAGACCAGCAAGAATACTCACGGAACGTTGAGGGCAGGGATGGGAGCGAGCTTCGTTTTCTCTATAATTTCTCTGGAAAGGAACGTCGGGAATATTCATGAGGTGTGTATTATTTTTTAATGCTCTCTTAAATTCTGAGTCGGTAATTTATCACCATGTACTTTTAGACGTAGTAAGGAAAGAAAAGCAATATTGCAAGCAATAAAATGCATATTACTTGAAGAGTCTTGAATTTAATAATGACTTTGAGGAAGAGAAATTGCACTTTTACGCAAAACTAAAAGATGAAGGTGAAATTCTCTATGATAAACTTTAAAATTTAATAATATCCACTCGTTTCTAAGCAGCATCGCATAATTTATGGCGGATTCTTAATTCCAAATTTGCCTAGACGTCATCAACGCCCTGGAGATATGTATAATTTTGAACTCACGCCCTGGGAGGTAATGAAACATTTCCATAAAATGAATAGGGATCTTTGTAATGCAGCAAATAGTGGAAATGACATTAATGAGTTTTTGTGCGTGGGAATCAGCAATCATCTTTCGGGCATGACTTTACGGTTGTGTGTTTTAAAGCCCAGCAATGAATGATGAATCATGCAGTACATGAAGTATATAATACTAGTTCTAGTAAGTTAGAAATATTGTTTATGAAAAATATTAGCTATGCAATTTAGGACAGAGAAAAACAGATTATAAAACACAATTCTTAATTGAGAAAAACATATTTTGACAACCGTCTCTCACTCAATTAGAAGAGTTAGATTTCATAAAAAACTAAACCTACAAACTTTCAACATCTATATTTGCGTCAATATGTTTTCAAATCTTCCTTCCAATTTGAATTGACATGATAATATCTTTCGTTTTACTGCCGTTTGAAAACGATTTCGATCTTTTCCAGTGGTTTCATGTATGATGTTCATTCTAGACATTATAGCCAGGTTAATTGAATTACAATTTACAGTAAATGATTAATTTCCAAACAAGTACGCGGGCAAACGCTGTAGATTCCAGAGCCACCTTTCCTGAGTCACCTCTGCTAGAGGTCGCTTTCCAAAACGACGAAAATCTTCATTATGCCATATTTTGTAGAATATAAAGAATGTAAAGCAAGTGTCTACAACATTATATCCTTCGAGAATATAACGTTCAAACAAGATAACATATCACTTTTACAATATTATAGATACAGTGAGTAGAACAATCTGAACAAACACCGCCATTAAATTTCCCTTCATAGGACAGCCCCATCACGCAACACTGAGGGAGTGACATTAATATATTTGTTTAGTATAGATAGATTCCCAACAGACACATAGTGCAGATTAAATTCTACTCATAATTGGAATTAAAATGACGGAATCACAAAAAAATACGCTACTCTCTGTATCTAGGGACTTTGGATATTATTAACAAAGTCCAGCATCTGGCGAAGAATCGCTCCTAAGTCATCAAGGACTCCGTTCAAGGCGCATCTGCTGGAAATCCCCCTAGACCCGCTCCGAGAGTATGTTTCGAAAGAAGCTTGAGCCGATAACGCAGGTACGGGTTGGAGCGTAGGCTTCCGCGGCCGGAGTCAGTAGCTACTTGGCTGTCCAGGAGACGCCGGGTCCAAAACACAGATGATTACTTTTCGGTCATCATTCTGCAACCTTTCTCAGGGCGAAATACATTTAGGGGTCTGCCTCAGAGACATTTTGCCCCGAGAAAGGTTGCAGAATGGCGTCCGCAATGTTTGAATTGAATTTGCCTTATTTTACGTGGCGAGACTCAGGCCATGTGGCCTTCTCTTCCGCCTGACCACGCAAATTTCGCTACGCTCCGTTCACCATCTAGCAGAGAAAGGAGGTATTTCTTGGGCGAGAAACAGGCGATTTGAATTTAGCTCAGAGGCGTCATTTAGGCTTGAGGATCATTTATTTGCAAATATATCTACTAATATGGGACTACCGGCTTTACTTCCCCGCCGCAGGAAGGCGTACGAAGGCATCCTTAAAAATTCACGGTTTCGATCAAGTTTGAACCCGCCAACTTGGGTATAACAGTCCGTTGCTCTAACCGTTACCATCGCCGCGGGCATGTTTAGGCGTGTGCATAGGACTATCGGGCAGCCAAGTAGCTACCGGTACGTATAAAGGTGGTCTTGTTGCAAGTATCTCAGAAGCGCGCAAGTTGAGAGGCAATGCGCACCTGGTGGCGAACTGCATAGCGAGGTCGTCCAGCGCGTTGTTGAGGTTCTGCTGCAGCTCCTTGAGGATGTTGGCGGCGTCCTCCTCCAGCTTCTCCCCTCCCATCGCCTCGAACATCTTCTCCAGCTGCACTCGCAGCTGCTGGATGTTGTTCATGAGGATGCACGCCTGCAACAGAGCAGCTCTGTTCTCATCGGTTTCCAGGGAGTTTCTCGTCAACAAATACGAGGCTATGGTGTCATTTCGTTCTTCTGCTAAGCAATTACGAGTAAACATTAATAAAAACAAAGGAATTAAACTGTTTTATACAACAATACGGTATCGGTTTCTGTTAACAAAAAATTTCCGTTCTGGTTTTAATTCAGGTTTTGAAACTATTCCAAACAGGTTTCAAATCTTTTTACTTTATCGTTTATTACATACGCAATACAGAGAAAGTATTGTAATGATGCGGCAAGTACGGATAATTTTTTTACATAAATTTAGTTTTGTGGGTCCCTGATACCGAAAAATTGGGTTATTAGTTTTCCAACGTGTAATAAATAGTTCATCAATACGTTGTGTAATCAGAACCTACGTTTTGTGGGTTTGACTCCGAAAAATTGGTTTACGGCAAAAGGTTCCTTTGTTGTCATCATTAGCACTTAAACAGTTCAGTTGATTTTTTTCAAAAATGATACTTCCCGTACGATTTGGCCGAATTTCAGTCTCACAAAATTGAAAATGGATACATTGATATTTGAGGGTCCTTTCATGAAGTCTAACATTTCCAAATGTTTGTCAAAAGGCTCAAATACTTAATTTTATTTCCCTCTTTCAGATAGAGAAAAATACGCTTATAAAAATGGCACAGGTCCCACCTTCACTAAACTCTGAATGTTCGGAAATATCTTAAATTCAAATTTTTTTCAACGCTATCCTACAACTACAATATTGAAGATATATTTTTTCTGAATGAACTCTGCTCTTCAAAGACAGATCTTTAAATAAAGTCTTGTATTATATCTCGACAATATTAGTAGTTTTCGTGTAATCTTTTGTGAAATATAAACCATTAAAATATGTTCTCGAAATCGATTCCAACTTTTTCTGTAATCATTTTCTAGAATTGAAGATGAAGAAAAATAAAATAGTGAGGAAAAACTATTTTCCCCAACGAAACAAAAATAAAAAATGCTGGATATTTCTAACTGTAAAAATTAATTTTAAAAATGATTCTATAGCTTGCAATCCAGGTAGCTTGAGGCGATTTAAATTTGTATTGGAAATAGGCATTTCATGTACAGTCAACTGTAGCTCAGATCGTTTGGTTATAATAAACAAATTACACTGATCCCGATTCGTGTACATTACAAATAAATACTAGATTATTCGTCTAGAGTGAACTCTAGATGTCGGATGTAGTGACGTGCAGTTTTTGGTCTGCCAAGTAAAGAGAAATCCCATCTGGCTAGGACATTGAAAATGCAGGTAACGAATCTTGAAGAACAGAAGAAACCGAGTGCGGTGTCAGAAGATACAAACAATGTGAAGGTTCAAGGTTCAGAACTGTGCAAGAGGTATAAAGTCTGCCCAAGTATATTTTACAACCACAATGACACTGAACGAAGTAGAGGAAATGTGTGCTAATGAAAAGGATCTTCAAAAATTATTAATCTTTCAACTATTTATGATTTTTTAAAACATAAATATGAAGACAGCAAAAATAATAAAGTATATTATTTTGAAGTTTTTTTAAATTTTAAATTTGGGGCATTTAAACATATTACAAACAATATCTGAAACAATAAAACCAATCATCGGGAGGAAACTATTTTATATTGGCAAATCAGAACAAAAATGTTGGTCTCAAGAGGTTCAATATAAATGGCCTCGACTGTACGTATTATGCATTGTCACCACTCTGGTACCATTTGAGATAAGCAATTGTTGTAAATATCTTCCACACAGTAAATACAATACGTGCTGTGACCTTGTAGCAGTGTAACAATTTGAATCTATTAACTTCTATTCACCAGGCGATGCATTAAGCATATGGAACTATAAACGCATTGGTCGCGAAGGTAACGGAGTCGTCAAAGCAACTGGTGTCTTACCCTCCCTCCAAAACTGACAAAAACAAATCGTGAGAACAACATAAGATAAATCTCGTCGAGAAGATCAGTGTTGCTCAATATTGTTTCTTTGTCGTACATCTGTGACTGAGAATGTTCTCGCCCTCTTTACTTGACAGCTTGAAGTCTTTTCCCCCGCTATCTTCCTTCTATAATTACCTATACATCTTTTTATTTTGTGACATAGAGATTAATAAATTAGTATGCCCCATGTTTATGTAAATTGGAAATAAAGACGTGCTTTCTTTTACTTAATGTCTGACAACATACCGAAAAGAGTAGATTTTCTTGAATAAAATACAGGTAGTCTTTAAACCGATATCCATTAATACTCAGATGTCAGTGAAACGACAAAATCAAGTACCAAGATTATATGTAGTATATAATATTCCGAAAGACACATACATGATCGAAATAATGAGTTATTGAAGAAATCATTAATCAGTCGTCATCGCTTTAATTGAAGCGCGCCTTTTTCAAAGAACATCACTGAACCGCTTCCTGAACTCACAATTCGCTCTTCCTTGAGGTGGACGGGGAACTCCTTCTTGACGATGTCCGCGTACTCCACCAGCACCTTGACGATGGTCTTGGCGAAGCGCTTCATGTAGCGCTTCCAGATCTCCGGGTCGGGGCACTCGAGCTTGGAGACGACGTCGAAGCACTGCGTGAGCTGCGTGAACACGTCCACCACCGAGTTGGAGAAGAGCGCGTGCTCGCTGCTGCGCTGGAACTGAACACCGGGCGGGCGTGAGCGCTGTCGCCGCGGCAGGACGCGGCACCGCGCCCGCGGCGACAGCAGCACCGCGGGGCTCGCGCACCGCGACGCAGGAACAAGAAGAAGAAGAAAGGAGGAGGAGGCTGGAGGGCGGCGCCGGCGACGGCGCGCGCCAGGTGTTCCGCAGGGGCTTCGCGCTCTGAAAAACGCTTCGGGGCTTGCACACCGCCAGCGCGCCCAAGACCCACTCTCAAATATGCGTGCACTCGATCAGCTAGGTGGCATGCAGTCCACACCCCGACTTCAGCTCATTCGCGGTGTCTCTCGAAGGTTTCCACACGCTTTGGGAGAATATTCGCCGCAGAGGAACGACTCCATAATTTTCATTGAGCGCACAGAGGCTTCGTTTTCTTGAAAATAAACTAAAATAAATGAAATAAATATAATGAAATAAATAAATTCACCAGGAATGTAACGTAGGGGAAACTATTACAGACGCACACTCAAAACGGAATGCACTCTGTACAAAGGGATTCTTTGCACACAAACATACATCCACGTATACTCTCATATTATAAATACTTTAATAAAGTCTATTTCCTCAAAAACGAAGCTTGGATGTTTAGCGAGTTGACATGATCCTTACTCCGGGAAGAACTCTCCCAAAACTTGCACAAACCTTCTCGATACATCTGGAGTTGTCACGTTTTGAATGCTTACACCGAGCTATATGTTTGCCTACTAAGCTTATATGTGTCTAATCTACACCTTGTTTTATACGTAGCGTCTATGTGTACAGAAGCGGCTACTCTTATTGTCTATTTCTGCGTCTATGCACATCTACACACTTCAGAGTGTACACGTGCATTGAAGCATGTATCCATGGTACAAGCACTTTTTTGTACAGTCACACGCGTACATTCACGTAGTCCAACATCCATATTACGTAATTAAGTACGGGTGATTCTAAATAGGTCTTCTGCACTAAAGCATTATGTACACACACGTGGACACGATTGGCTTCCATGCAAGTACACTGCAAGTTTGGCTACGTATGCACTATCTCGCAGAAACTAAAGCATCTAGCGTCTGTGCACGTATCAGACGTACCTGTACGCCTACCACGCATACGGATTATATGCGGGCGCGGTTATCTTTCGTGGAAAGATAATCTGAGAAAACATGCCTCGTGTCGCAAAGTCTTGAGGAAATCCTGTCGCCCTGTGGCACTTCAGCTTTTTGAATCACTTGCAGAGAGAGGAGAGACAGAAAAAAAAGAGGAGCGGCTGGCGCGACGGCGCGGGAAAGCACGGCGGCGGAGGCTGCGGGCAGCGCGGGGCGGGACGCGAGCGGCACGGGCGGCACGGGCGCGGCACGGGCGGCGTGGGCGGCGCGGGCCCGGAGCGGCCGGCGACGGGGCGGCGCCGAGGGGGCGTGGCGCTTACCCCGTCCTTCTTGTCGCGCGTGAAGGCGCCGTGCAGGTACTCGAGCGACACGTCGTCGTTCTCGTTGAGCCACTGCATGACGAAGGGCTCGAACCACCTGTGGACATGAGGCGGTGAGCGCGGCTCTGGGCGCGGGCGGGGCAGCGCGGGCGCCGGCGCGGCCGAGGGGTGGCGCGCGGGGGTGGGGGCGAGGAGAGAGCTCACGAGGATGATGCAGGATACCTACGTGGAGTTGTCTTCAACAAATTGACTTCACAGGATTCCTTCATCAAGCTTACACACTTCTCCCAATGCCGCCTGATTGCTCCCTCGTTTTTCGTATCACTGGGTCATGTTCCTTTCCGGCTTATTGCATCCTGATTTGACAAAGAGTTTGTGAGAAGTGTATGTTGAGAGGTGTTGGTGTAGAAACAATTGGCCATTCCGGAGAAGCCACAACCTAGGCAGTGTTGTCAACAAATCTGCTAACGTGTGGTGACGTTATTGTTGATTAGTACAACAACCAAAACGTTGACAACATCGTCCGGGTAGACAATAAATCGTTAGATATATCAGCGGAAGCAAAAATATGTGCTTTGTTTTCAACTGGTATGGGGATATTTAAGCTGTTTGAAATACCGCGTCAATGGTACTCATAAAACAACGATTCAAAATTGACTCTTGGACGACTGAGTGACCGTAAATGAAATTTGGAGTCTGTGGAGGAAAACTACAGCAAGGAACGAATTGTCGCCCGTATTATCAGTAGCGCTAACATCGGAAAAGGGAGACACGCATAATCAGAGAAAGATACAAGTATAACGCCAAGAACGCACGTTCTTGTTGGGAAGAGTTTAGAAAAGTATGGATACTGTTACAAATATATAGTATTTTTTATAAATAAACTTCTAATTCACCGAACAAATTTAATTTTGCTCGATGTTCACTTCTATAAGGTTTCTATATAAGTATAAATAAAAAATTGTCGTGTAGTTGTAATCTCACTAGATACATGTTTCCTCAATCGTTTCTGCTAAAATTATCATACTACTACCGCTCAAGGTAATTAGTATTACTTGTAAAAAACCTGTTCGAGGGAAGGGAAGAAGAAAGATGACGGTAGGGGGTTTATTGTGACGTGATGAACGAGACTGTCAGGCGGAATAGGGAGGCGAGGGTAAGTAATGTGAAGGATCCTGCGAAATGAATATAGATTGGGGAAGGCCTGAGCCGTAGTAGGCGGTGCGGTGGTGACGGTGCGGGTGTGCGGGGGAGGGGGTAAAACCCCGCGCCACCACTGTCCTGGGCCGCGCCGGCAGCCCCAACACACAGTGCGTGCAGATGGTGACTGGACAGTTGAAGAGCAGAGAACAGCCGAGAAGAGTCGTCTGCAGCTCTGGAAGAGTGTCTGGCTTTCAAGAAAAAGAGACAGAACAGACAGATAAATGAGAACAGGCAGATAGATGCAGAGTCAAGACATACAGAAAAGAGGAGAGAAAGCTAGAAGAGAAAACATCCTGTCGGGTAAAAAGAGGTGTCGGGTAGAGAAAATGAGAGGAACTGATGCAGGACATTTTTTGCTCGTTACTCAAAACGCTTGCCAAATTGTAATAAGTACTTCTCGTTTCGTGAATTTTGTTGAATTATTTTAAATGGATTACAAACTGTTATCCATTGAGATTCAAAAACCGTTTTCAAAGCAAACGTTTATGAATGAATAAAGAGCGCGTTTGGAGTTGGCGCGAGTAACGAGCAGCAGTTGACACAAGAGGCTGAAGGGCGAGGGCAGAGGGTACTCACGCCGGGTACTCGGGCACCGAGCCCTTGTAGGGCGGCACGTTCTTCACGTAGTTGGCGTGCAGCCACTTGACCTTGAAGTGCAGGTTCATGTAGGCGGACGACTTGCAGAGGCGATGGGTCTCGTGCTCCTCCAGAGCGTACTTCATGTCGACGGCGAACAAGCTCCACATGGTGGCGGCGGACAGCTGCGGCAGCGGAGAGGGCGTCACGTCTCGGGCCGCGCCGCGCCGCGCCCCCTCCCCCCCG